ACAGTACATTTACTGAATGTACAAATGTAGGCATTTCATCTTGAAACTGTCAACAAAACTGTCATAAACATTTATTATAATTGTATAGTACATTAACAGGGCCAGTTTATTATACACATGGACTTTTATATCCGTATATCATATGCCATTTCGTGTTGTTAATATCCACTAAAACGTTACCGTCCCATATTTAAAAAAAACTGTTGGGTTATACACGGCGTTGATTATTAAATCTATTTTACAATTACCATAAATTTCCGCTCGGTCTTAATATCATAGTATAAGACTATCGTGAAGGAAGATCCTCGCATGTTTATTTATATGGTAATTACAGAATTACAATCTTCCACCGTATTTAACCCGCTACACCCAATCATTGTTCAGCAGTTATTTATGCTAAAATAGTCTGAAACTGTAGTAATGTTTGTTCAATGGCATTCTATTATCAAAACGTTTGGGTTTATTATTTACATTCTATTATTAGAACAGCTCAAATATGTGTTTTCCTATTGTTACAAATATATAAACCTTCACGTGTTTGTTATTTGATCACCTGTATGTTACACTCGTGTTATGAAGGGAATAATCCAGATCTGTATTACGTCATTGTACCATTGTACCTTTTACGATTCTGATGCGTCTTTCGCTATACTAATTACATGTGTAGTTGTTCCTGTAACAATGTCTTAATTGAGCCCATCTTACACAGTGAACACCATGTTACAAATCGCCAGTAAATGTTAACAACAAATGTTGTACGGGACCTGTCCCCAGGCTCGATCAGCAATACACACCATGCATAGGACACGAAGACAACAGTGGTGTATCAGTATATGCAGCTCATTTTGCCATGAACACTAATGAACGACAACAGACTTTGGGAGAGCAGTGGGTGTAATATATGCAGAACAATTTTACTGAAAAATTTAATCTCGAGTTGTTTAGTTTTCAGTGAAATTCGCTGGTGTGGCCGTTGCTCTCCATTCTCTTAAAACGCAATATAAAATATAATTCATACATTTCGGACCTACCAATGGTTTGCAATCAATGATTAACTATACAGCTGTTATTTCATATTATTATACGGAAAACCCCGCGTTGATGTTGTGTTTGTTTTCACTGGCTTCTTCGCTGTATATTTTAATTATTCACGTTTTTTTTTATTCCGTATAGAATGTTATTTGTAATTTGTGTTTCTCTGTATATTATAATTATTAAGAATTGTTTTTCTTTTCTCCCGTATAGAATAATTGTTCATGGTTAGTTTTTTCCGTATAGGATAATTATTCATGATTTGTTTACCCCGGATAGTATAATTATTCGTGATTTGTTTTTTCCTGTACATGATAATTATTCATAATTTGTTTTCATTGATCGGATTAGATAACTATTTAAACAGTTTGGCATGAAGAACGTAGCGTGGGATGTGGTATGTTCTTAAGAGGTACACATTAAAAATCATTTCAACTGAAAGAAATTCCAAGAGCAGTCAGGGTGATTGAAACGATGTATCAACACATTTACATTTACATTGTGTGTATTGTTTTTAAATGCAGCATTTGCCACTTTCAGATTAAACAATCGTCACTAAACGGTTGCAATACGATTTTAGTTGATCTAACAAGGCAGGACACATCGATACAAATTATACATTGTATCGCTTATTTTATTTTATTTTATTTTTTTTGAGAAATGAAACTTCCATAATTCATGTTAATTTTGTTAACATTGTCAACGTACATGTCGATGATATATCATTTGCTTTTCGAAAATTCAAAAGTATATTGACCTTAACTTTTAAAATGTACCTTACCTATTTTTTGTAATGTACGTTACATATTTGGTTTGTCATTATTCTTGGATTGTCAACGGACAATCATAATACACCATATATTGAGAGCCAGAACTGAAATCCTTGATACCTGTTCCTTTGGAATGACATGTTTATATATATATAATCTACGTGATTATTATTGGACGCCCTCAGGCGGTACTTTAACCTTTAACACATATGTGATAAAGCCCCTCTATAGTTGGAATTCAAGTAATTTTCAGACCACTTTTCCAGGAGTGTGCATGCCGGATATAAGGTGCAAACATACTATTGTGCTTTGGGGTGTACAAATCGACATCACAAAAATACAATTCCCTTCTATCGACTATCAGCAAACTGACATGTTTGTATTTTCCGCCATGACAGAGCAGGCGTATTTCGTCATCCTGGTCTCGCTACTCTCTGGAACGTGTTACGTGAAGAAATACGTGTACTGTGTATTTATTTTTCTGTGACCGAAATAGACTGAGGTGGGCCAACCTCGGCTCATTTATTTTTCGTTACACGAGAATGGCAATACGCTTAGCTTATTTAAACAGCTAATTCAGCTTAGCTTATTTAAACAGCTAATTCATTATTAACTATCAATCTATAACTTTTATTAACGTCTTTATAGGCCTGTGACCCATATGACTATAACAGATACAACACAGAGTGCATAACTAAATAATTACATGTATTCCATGCAGGGCTTCCTCTCTCGTTTGGTTGGCCAGCCTTGTATATATATTTTCCAAGATTTATAAGCACTGTTACCGAGTTGGATATCATTATTTTTTTAATTTGTCCGAGTAGGGATATGCCAAAAATATTTTGTAATCAATGTCGTTCTACAGGTATAAAGCGCACTCGAGAACGAAATGGGATTCGTCATCGATTGCATTTAACGAGCAAAACGCACATGTTCTCCATTCACTCAGTACATCTAAATAACACCCTCTTCAATACGTAATATATGGCATGCACACCGAATACGTACAAGTGAATATCTGTGCTTAACATTCGTGACAAGTATTTTTCAAGCTCTAACATACTTTTGAAATTACAGTACGTGTGTAGTCAGTCACTAGCGTACACTTCACTGAACCACTCTTGTTTATAGAAAATCCGTTACCAGCTGTCTGAACTCCGCCATGAATAACTTTACATTTCCCACACCCTGGACAAACCACACAACGCCCAATCCATAAGAAGAAGAAAAAACATATCTTTAATTGTTTCCCATGATTTGTTCCCACTTTTGTCCAAATTGTACATCAATTTATATGCTCGTTTGGCATCACTAGATTCCGACAGTTCAGACAGATGTAACCAATAATTTATACATTTAGCTATTTATTTGACATGATGTGTTCTCCTACAATTCTCCAGCATTAGCAATAATTAGCTCGATTTGAGGTTTATTAATCAAAACGTTAAAAAGTCGATCATTACTATGCATAGTCAATATACTACACTAAATTCATTTTAATTCATGACTATGTTATATAGAAGCATATACGAGATGGCACATGGTATACCAAAACCCCAAAACCTGAAAACAGTATCTATGTCATTATTGATCAATATGAATGATTTAGAACCGTGTAGTGTGAGTAGTGTTTTAAAAACATGGATAAATCGGAATTAAGTTCACTTGGATTTTTAGATTTGTAACTGTATCGACTTAATCCGTGGCGTATTGGCACGTAAATATATTGGACATAAAACATCAATATTGACGTCTAAATGTCGCAGTTACAAACAGTAATCGAAATGACAACATCAGTGTCGATGTAAATCATCAATATTGATGAAAACGCGTACATCTCTTATCTCAATATTATTGTAATGGCTGTGGTCGTCACTCCATGTCCGTTTGTTCATATGAACAAAGATGGTGACTTTGACTGTTGCGTGCGTAGACCAACGAGTACAAACTGAGATTTAATTTCTTTGGTAATAGAAAGGTGTTGAAGGGGTTATCGACCGTGTATTTAGTGCACATCACGCCCAGATCAAAACTCGTACTCGTGGTTCTCATTGCAAGAGCGCATTGGATTATGGGAAATCAATGTTTATGAACACAAATGTCACACATGCGCGGCGCGACGACCACCGTGCTTTAATCCACATAATGCGTGTGCGTTTTGGCCATTCTGTGCATGTTTTGAACGTATGTTAATTAATAAACATTCAATGTTAATGGAGTAGCCAAGGTGTTAAAATTGAACTAGCCCATTTAGTGTATTTTTTAGACTCAAAATAAAATATCACATGTAATAACGTAAATAATTAAATCATGTTTTAATATTTATCTCGTAAACCACATCAACAAAATATTTGTATTTGCATTTAACAAAGAAAATCATTTTCATATGACGAGTTATTGTATAAGTTTTGTTAACTGTTAACAGGAGCGGATACAGGATTTTTTATGGGGGGGGGGGGTCCAAACGCCCCCCTTCTAGATCCGCAACTGGTTAATTGAACATCGAGTTACAATTTGGGCGTGGTTTCGCAAAAAGTAGGAGTAGCTCCTTAAATATGGGCCAGGTCATTTTTGTAAATCGATGTCCGTGACTCAATGTTCGTAACTCGATGTCCGTGACTCAATGTTCGTAACTCGATGTCCGTGACTCAATGTTCGTAACTCGATGTCCGAGACTCAATGTTCGTAACTCGATGTCCGAAACTCAATGTTCGTAAATCGATGTCCGTGACTCAATGTTCGTAACTCGATGTCCGTGACTCGATGTTCGTAACTCAATGTCCGTGACTCAATGTTCGTAACTCGATGTCCGTGACTCGATGTTCGTAACTCGATGTCCGAGACTCAATGTTCTTAACTCGATGTCCGTGACTCAATGTTCGTAACTCGATGTCCGAGACTCAATGTTCGTAACTCGATGTCCGTGACTCGATGTTCGTAACATAGTTTAGCATCTCACTTGTGGTCGTGGTACGTTTCATCGAGCCATTGCCACAAGAGGGCGTTAGGTAAACAGCGACAATAACAGACAGCATTGCTGTAAGAACCAAAATATACAGAATATCTAATACCTATAACCAGCTACAAATTGTGTCTGTTTTATGTAACTGTCTACTAAAATGTTGTATTCCGACTCAAACGCACGTCTTACAGCAACCTAACACACAAAACAAAACTTTGTATTGCGCTGAGGATGCTCACGTAACTTTCTTTGCTTACTTGGGTAGTTCAGTATCGTGATATTTCCAAAATGGCGTCGGAGGTATCGAAGAAAAGCAGCGGCAAATTGTCCAAATCTGTTACTCAAGAACAAGTAATAAGCGGTTTTAATCAGCTTCGACAAGAACAGAGATCACTAGCTACAAAAATAGCAGAGTTAGAAGTGGAACAGAATGAGCACAGGTGAGCATATCGTTGACATCTCGATGTAACATGTAATGTCATGCCGTACACGAGTTATTCATTTGAGTTTTAGGTTTCTTCAATGATCAGTCCAGAATTACCCATTCCATTTGTGTGTCAGAGGGCGTTACCCATTTCATTTGTGTGTCAGACGGAGTTACCCATTCCATTTGTGTGTCAGACGGAGTTACCCATTCCATTTATGTATCAGACGGAGTTACCCATTCCATTTATGTATTAGACTGAGTTAACAATTCCATTTAAGTATCAGACGGAGTTACCCATTCCATTTATGTATTAGACTGAGTTAACCATTCTATTTGTTTTTCGGACGTAGTTACCCAATTTTCTGTGTGTCATATTTTAAGTTAGTCATCACATGGCAGGCAGTCGTGAGTTTGCTGTAGTCAAGTCATCCCCCACCTCACCCACCACTCGCGGTATGAGATATATATGGGGGATTAGATTGTTGTTGTTTTTTCATCAAATACAAGTCAAACAATATGTATGTATGACTGGGTAGGAGAGTGTTATGGGAGTGCTGTGAGGGGTGGGTGGTACATAAGGAATTCTTTCCCAAATTTGCTTGTTTTCAGTGGGAATTTACCTGATGTACTTGCCCCTGGGGTGGAGAATTTGGAAATTTCCAAATTTCCCACTGAACCCCAGGGTGGGTGGCTGCAGTCAGTCAGATTGACTGAAGCATTGCCAATTTCTTGTGTTTTACTACTGACTGTAACTGAAATGAATAGGAAAAAAACAATGTCGGCATCTAGATGTTAAAATATCTGCTACAAATCTAAATACAGTTTTCTGTTAATTCTGGCATGTACATTGTAGTGTGCTTAAAGGTACATTGTGTGATATATTTTTACCTTGCCCATACTATCAAAGATGGAAGGGAAAGGTATATTAAGGGAAAAATTTTGTCCGGCATTGTCGTTGTTGTCGTCGTCGTTGTCGTTAATAATTGTTATTGTGTGCATAATAACTTTACTAATTCTATTCCAAACTTTATCAAACTTGGTCACCTTATTCATCAGTATAAAGTCTTCCCTGAGTTTGAACAACAGATGTCCTGTATGAAAATATCATGCAAAAATTGAGAAAATCTAATAAAATATTTTGACTGTTTCTACTTGACTGATCACTGGTGATACACATCAAAGGTCACTGATCTCAGTGGAAATATGCATTGTTGTATGTGTTCAATGAAGCAAATGATTTATCTTGTAATAATATCCTTGGTAATGTATCTCAGAATCCCATACTGGGTTTCAAAACTAACTCATGGAGAGATTGCACAGTCTGATACACATTTGCAAACCTACCAATAAAATCTTTACAGAAAACAAGTAACCTGTAGAATACTGTGTGGGTAATATTTTTTATATTGATTTTTGTTGCATTTGCAGCAAATAGTTACCAAACAATGAGAAATCTATAGGATTGAATATACCCCACAGCTGGCTTCACATGCATTGTTCATAGTTCATATGGTGCTTACACCAGGATTTAATTACAGCACCTAGGCGGTATGTGGTTACAGCTTAATGTTCGAGTAATCGCAAGAAATTGACATGACAATAGAAATTCATTAAAGACTGCCACTCCCATGCAATT